ATCTTTTATTTCATAAACAGAAATGATTCAGGAAATGCGTCTCTCAAGGGAAGTGCAGTGAAATCCTGGTCCTGGGCAGGACAGAGGAGAACGAATAGCATAGCGCTGCTTAGCCATTAGGAATAATGACTGTCTTAGGGCCCCTTATGCCTGGAATAGAGTTTTCATTTCTGGGTCATCTGCTGCAAAAAAAAATGAGGCAGGGGTAATATTATCTTACCTTAAACATTATTAGGACAATGTGGGCCTACGGCTTTGCCAAAAATCAGGTTTTCTGACTTTGGAGTGCAATGTGCATTTCTGTGGCTCAGATCTCCACGAAAATTCCATGACAATGAAGACAATTCGATGTCAGAACTTGTTTCCAGGAAAGGCTCTGATGAAAACTTTCACACTGGATGTGAATGTCTGAGAAAGCTCAATGCATTAGCTCCTATTTATTATTTATTTAAGTAGTAAACCTGAGTGTTTTGTGGTTTGTAACTGAGAGGAAGAACTCTTGAGACCAAAGCCGCACTGCAAAAACCTGTTTACTATTATAATTTAACTGACAGTGTTTTTAAAGTTGAAATTCACTTAAATGCACCCAGTAAGTTAGGCTGGCCTAGCATGGGGTTAAGAAATACCTGAAGACCACACTGCAAAACGGGGAACTTCAATGGACTTCTTTAAGCTCTCAACCTCAAAGGAAGGAAACCAACTAACCAATAATGGTAACTTGGAGAAAAAAAAGGTTTAAGATCCATACCAGATTCGGAGTTAATGTAATGATTGGCACTTTGATGGCCAATTAGCACCGGACTCGTGGGGTGCGGGTGGTCGCCCAGCGCGCAGGGTAAGAGTTCTCGGTCCCCGGCCGCACATTACTGGGTACCGTCTGGCGCCTCCGGCCAGGACCCCCGGTCCCCGCGCCCCCGCCCCCTCCGCCCGCGGCCCAGGCCCGGTCCCGCCGCCTTCAGGACAGAGGAGCCAGCGCCCAGGCGGCCGCAGGCCCCGCGCGGTTGGCAGAGCTCGGCCAGCGTCTTCGCAGGAAGCACCTGCGGCCCCGGACAGTTGGTCCGGACTCATCACCGCGCGAACTGAGCGTTTGCAGCTTTTTATTATCTCTTTGGCCAGGCCGGCCGTGGCCCGAAGCGCGCGGCGCCTCGCCGAGCGGGGCCGGCAGCTCAGAGGCGGGACGGGGGCGCGGCGCCTGAGAAGCCGCGA